TTCTCTTCGGGAGTTCCTCTTATTAAAGCGGAAGCAAGTTGAATAGCACGCCACGCCTTGTGATACCCAATATCTAGTCCATGCAATTTTTTGCATCTCTGCCATGAAAGCTGGTGTAACTTCAAACCTTGGGTCTCGAAGATTGTCGATAATGTAACCACTAATCAACTTTGAAGTAGCATGCCTTTGATCAGCTTTCATAGTGTTAACAGAGCAGTCATGCTTTTTCTCAATCTTTACTATCTTGAACAGTGTTAAATCTTTAATTCTGAAAGCACGCACACACCAACAACACCTATCATCACTGCATTTCAATGAATATCTTGTTGAGCTTGATCTAACAACCTTGAATTCAAAATGTCCTTTAATTGCTATATTGGAAAAACAGTTAATTATACTCTTCTTCTTGTCAAATGCTGATCCGACTTTTATTTCATCTAACGAAGCATTTTCTCTTAATATCGTAGTTGGGGATTCTTTTTGTTTCAAATTTGATCTTCGTCTAGTTAGTTGAGTAGAGGTTTTTCAGCAACTTCTTTGATTACCGGTGCACTCTCTAAGACTTGAATACCCAAAGCTTGTTCGTTGTCAATCTCTATAATGCTTTGTCCTTCTACTTGAATAGAATCAAATGTTTGATGCACCTCTTCAGTTATTGGTTGAGCTTCAACCATATCTATTTCCATTATCTGTTGGCATTTGTCTTGATTGTCATGTTAAGTTTCTCTGTTGACATATGTTTGAAGCACCTCTTCAGTTATTGCTTGAGCTTCAACCATATCTATTTCCATTATCTGTTGGCATTTGTTTTGATTGTCATGTTGAGTTTCTGTGTTGACATGTTCGTTGCTTGTTGATCCAAAAACTCTTTCCGAAATATCAACAATGAAACGACAGCCCTTGAAGAGTGAATGAGTTTTTAGTAACTCTATACATGTGTGAAGATCTAATCTTTGGATACAAGCATTCCTTTGCTTGTACCAAGGTTGATATTAAACCATATCACTGCTTCAAACTTGTGTCTGTCCAATTCAATAACCTCAAAGATCTGTTTAATGAAATCTTCAAACCGAATTGACTTAGATACTAGAACAAACTTTGTTTGATGATCAAGATATTTATAGTCTTCAGTCCATCTACCATTAAAAGCAACTATAATGCATATTGTTTCCATCCTGCAAGTCAAGAGAATGGGAAACTCAGGACATATTTTATAAAGCAATCCTTGTATAATTAAGAACAGGTACTGTAAGTTCAAGACCAAGTGTCCTTAACATTTGAACTTGGAATTCAAAGTTAAGGACTGTCTGTCCTTAACTTTTGAACATGTAATTGAAACTTAAGGATTGCATGTACTTAACTTTTGAACTTGAAATTCAAACTTAAGGACTGCCTATCCTTAACTTTTGAACCTTCAAGTCAAACTTAAGGACTCATGTCCTTAACTTTTCAACCTGTAATTCAAACTTTAGGACTTCCTGTCCTTAACTTTTGAACCTGCAAGGACTTCCTGTCCTTAACTTTTGAACCTGAAATTCAAACTTAAGGACTTCCTGTCCTTAACTTTTGAACCTGCAAGTAAAACTTAAGGACTTTCTGTCCTTAACTTTTGAACCTGAAATTCAAACTTAAGGACTTCCTGTCCTTAACTTTTGAACCTGCAAATAAAACTTAAGGACTTCCTGTCCTTAACTTTTGAACTTGCAAGTCAAACTTAAGGACTCATGTCCTTAACTTTTCAATCTGTAATTCAAACTTAAGGACTTCCTGTCCTTAACTTTTTCAATTTGAAACTCAAACTTCAGGACTTAGTGTACTTTACTTTTTCAAAACAATTTGCAAAACTATGACAGTATGTCCTTAATATACAGAAGAACAGCAACAAAGTTAAGGACATTGTGTCCTTAACTTTTTCAATTCAATTTGCAAAATGAGGACACTATGTCCTTAATATTATGTGCTCAATTTTTATAGAATTATCATAGGAGGCGATGTCCTTAACTTTATCAATCCAGAAATTCAAAAAAAAAAAAAGAATCAAATTTCTACTTACTGTATAAAAATCAATAGAAATCAGAAGGAGTATAACTATGTCGAAATAAAAATCAATAGAAACACATAAAAGTATAACTTACTGTAAATCTATGTCGATTTTTGGATGAGAATGTTGAATTTTTGAAATCGGAAGAGAATTTTCTTCAATTTCGACGATCACAGTGAAGTGCTTTTGCGCTGCTGCTGCTCGTTAATGTTAGCGTAGGTATAAGTTATAGCAGAAGGGTATTTTCGTCCGGTCAGGTATAAGTTTATTAAACCAGTGGCTAAAGACTAAAGACATTTAAAATACTGGCTTTAAAATAAAGACAGGTGCTGTTAGTGGCTATTTGTGCACATCCCCCGCAAATGCTGATATAGAGCCCAGAGCTCAAAGCCCAAGTTTCTGAACTGGAGCTTGCGTCAAACTGTAAAACATCTTAGGATCTCCAGTCGGAGCGTGAAAGTCCGATTCAATGGGAGACAACAGCGCTACAACCACCGCACCTTCGCCGGCGAAAACCGCCGCGGTGGAAGATGCTCTTCTCAAGCAATTCTTTGCTGAGGTCAGTGAAGTTGAACGCGATAACGAAGTTAACAGGTTCATCTCTTCAATCAATTTGCTTCTAGTTGTTATTTAGTCGATTTTTGTTCGCATATTCATATCTCCGTGTGTATAACTTTGCCAAGCAACTAGCTAGGCTGATACTTGTATGCTAATCTGGACGGGTAATTTTAGCGTGATCTTTGGAAAAAAGATGCGTAAGGCTGGTAGGATTGATTACCGGAAAATTTTCTTCCCTTTAGGCGAAATAAATACTTTACCTTATAGTAAATTTAGTAATAAATTAGTGTATAAGCCGTATGAAACCATAATTTCGTAGGCAGAAGAATCCATGTGTTTATGATGATTTGAGATGTTAAATTGAGCAGTAAGGAGCCAATATTTTTGTAATTGATTGTATTAAAAGGAGGAGGAAAAGAAAAACCGTGTTCACTGTAATGGTTTGATTGGTTTCAGTTAGAATCATAAAGCCAACTCTTATCATCATGATCAATGAGGATAAGAACTCCAAAATGAGTCTCATGGATGATAACATGTATTTCTGCCGTGAACTTCTCTTGTCCTATTCCTGGGAGGCACTCAACTTCATGCTAAGTTACAGAACAACAAAAAAATAAAGAAAGGAAAGGGTGCTTTGTTATTGGATTGATGGAATAGTCTCATAGAAGTGTTAATTTATGGTTGTGGTTGAGTATGGTGGTTGTGGGTGGTGGTAGTTGATAGTGGTGGTGGTGGTGATGGTTTTTTTTTTGTGTGTGGTGGGGGGGGGGGGGTGCGAAAGAGGGTGGAATGGTGGGAAAATCTTCTTCGCGGATATCCTTGAGTGGATAGCATTTTAATAATTATAAGAACATTGTTATAGGTTTTAATTATTCAGATCTATTCATCCGTTGTAGGAAAAAAAAACACTTACTGGTTGAGATGTGAATGACTAAAGATTCAGTCCAAAAAAATTCACACTTAATAAGTAGAGTATGAATGATTAAGATTTAGACCTTCATTAAGTGCAAACAAATGATATCTTACATCTGTCTAGGTTTGGAGGGATTGAAAATACTAATGGGTAGAAGTAGCACAGTCTCAGTTATCCCAACCTGAAAAATGGAAATAGACTTCACTCCTTGTTTACTTCCTCCCTCTTATGAAACCTAACCTTCTTTCTCCACACCAACCTGAGCTATAGTTTTGGATCTGATAGTTTTAGATGTGCATCCATTGAGGTTGAGTTTAAGTTAGACAGTTCTCATTTGTTTGTAGATTTAAATCTGCTAGGGATCAACTATTTTCTCCTCTGGTTGTTGTAAAACACTCGATGCTACTTTCTGGTTATCTCTTCAATAAGTTTGAGTTTTTCTTTATAATATCGTGTTTAGACTGTTGTGTGTTTTAGTGTTTGTCTACTGATGTGAGTTGTTTTTTTGGGTCAGAATCAATTTGAATTCTGTTATCGATTTCCTATTTCTCATTCTATGTTTGTTATTTGGGTTAAAATTTAAAAACTATGCAGGATCCTTTCATGCTTCAAGTTGAATCCTTTTGACTACCTTAACCTGTCATTTGATTCATCCATTGATGAAGTCAAAAAGCAATATCGTAAGGTGTAAATTTGTGAAACATTTTCATTTGACAAACCATTCCCTTATTCTGTCATATTATCTAATATGTTGACTTGAATTACATGTAGTTATCTTTGCTTGTTCACCCTGACAAGTGCAAGCATCCACAAGCAAAGGAGGCATTTGGCGGTAAGGAAGTTGCTCTTCCTTTCTGTGCCACTTTGTATTCCATTTATTTTAGGTGGTTCTTTGAGTGAAGGATTATTCTATTTATTTTATCTCCTTTTGGTAGGATAAATTTCACGAAGTTATAGGGATTGTGCTCTTCCTATATCACTTTAACTGCAAGATATATGATTTTGCATTAAGAATTTTGAGTGTAGGTTTACTGAACTTCTTGCATCTACCTTCAAGAAAACCATCAAGAGAGCCTAATCCATTCACTTTCTTTCAAGTTTGTCTTTTGTAAAACCATACAACTAGAATGTCTTCATAGGTACTGGATGTTTGGACTTACATTGACCCAGATGTTCATGTAAAGGCACAGTAAATGTGATATGAGCTTCTTGTTTTTGTTTAAATTACTTTAAGGTGACACCGTGTAGCATATCATATGATTTTTTGGCTAGAACATTGTTCTCGCTTCAAATATTGTCCTTAGAAAGCTTG